GGAATTCTGACCCCCTTTCAGGAGAAGGAGACTCTTTAACAAGTGAAGTGCATGGGGGAGAATTGGAAGGGACCCCTCTCATCCATCCAGAAATACTGCCCCCCCTGCAAGAGAAAGAGACCCTTAACATAAGAACTCCATGGGGATGATTAGAAAGGGACCCCTCCCATCCAACCAGGAATACTCCCCTCCCCCCCTCAAGATTGAGACCCCTTAACAGGAGGAGTGCACTGGGGTGATTAGAAGGGACCTCTTCCATACATCCAGGAATACTGACCCCCCTCTCACCAGAAGGAGACTCCTTAACAGGAGGAGTTCATTGGGGTGATTCCATCTAGGAATACGGCCCCCTTCCTACAGGGAAGGAGACCCCTGAACAGGAACAGTGCATGGGGTGATTAGAAGGGACTCCTCCCATCCATCCAGAAATCAATTAAAGGGGGCCGCTATCCAGAAAATCTCCTGCTCCACTTAAAGGAGACCCCCATAGGAGGACTACTAGTACCGGTGCAGAGGAGGAGGAAATCCTGCACAGTCCCTGTGTGGCTGTAAAGCAATGGAGGCATGGGACTGTCGCCGCTGCTGCTCCCAATGCTCCCACTGCTTAGTCTGTTCTTACTCGGACTGCAGACACTTTCCCCTCTCTCACCTTATGCAGGGCAGACAATCTCAGACTCTGCACAAGGTGATAGCTTGAGAAATCCAAGGAGGAGGCAGGAAAGATGCTGTGATGTTCAGTGAGCTGAAGTGCACCCTCCCCCTGCATAATTAATTTGTGCCCAGCAGGGCCGCCACACACCGATCATCCACAATTACCATATCACCTGCTGCAGGAGGTTCCAACCAGGACTGGCCCCCCTACTGTCCGTGGGCACTCGGGTATGCACGAATGGTCAGTCCACCCCTGCTGATGAAACATCTCATCCATGGAAGCAGAGTGGGTAACAGCACAGTGCCCCCCCCCCTCCCAGGGCCCATGTGCAGTGAACACCCTGCATCCATGGATGATACACAACTGCTTGGTGTCAATAAGGCTTCAAAGGCCCCCACCCCTGTTCAATAACAATTGCTCCAGTTTGAGGAAATGGTCTTTTTCATGCCTCTTGCTAAATAGTCTTTTGTTCAAAATGTGCATCTCACTGCCCTCAAAAGAATTTTCCTTTTCCTTATAGTGATGTAAAACTCTTCAGTCTTTACCTGTAGAATATGCCCTGTTATGTTGGGCTGTTTGTTTTTCAAACGTTGCCTCGTCTCTCCAATGTACAGGTCTTTGCAATCCTCACTACATTGCTCTGAATTCCTGCCACACTGTAATGCATATGCCAAGTTTACCATAAACCAAGCTTGTGTTTGGGTATTGAGTCTTTTGGATATAAAAGCTTCTGTCTTAGTGTATTGCTGGGGTTGAAGAATGCAGAGATGCAATGTTTGTTAACTGCTTCTCAAACAGCCACTGTAGAAATATGGCTGGATGTCCTCCCACTCCTAGGGCTCACGCACATCCTCAGGGCCACACAGGCTGTAACTCTGAGGAACGGGAGCAGTCTCCCAAAGCACGTCAGCTGATCTGTCATCTGCATAATTCCATGAGGTTGGAAGGCTGACTTCTGGATTCTGTCATGATACGCTACGAATCCTATTTGGTTTGTGAGTATAATTTGTACTTTTTGATCTTTTAATAAAGTGCTGGAAATAATGCACTAGGCATTTGCACCCTTTTTGTCCTTTGTTGTTTGTGCAGTACTGGATTCCCCTATGCAGCCCGAGTTGCACAGTGGCTAAGGCATTTGCATCATTTATGGCAAAGCTTCCCTACAATATCTGAGCGCAAATGTGTCAGATTTACATTGTTTCTTGGTCGCTATCTTGTGATGCCTGTGTCTCTTGGACACAGCACAATCCTAAACGACATAGGGCCCCTGTAGTCACTTGATGGTTGTGTCCAGTCACAATCATCACACATTGTAAACAGCACATGACTAATGATCGGCTCTCCTTCTCACAGAGAGAGAGTTAGTGAGGAGAAGGAGAGCTGATCTCTGCAGTCTGTCAGGGATCTGTGAGTAACTGCTGATTTTACTATATAGATGCACAAAGATCACACACAGCAATCTATCACCAGTGCACCAAGCAGCATCTGTACCAGTGTCCCATCAGCATCTGTCACAGTGCACTAGTGTCCCATCAGCATCTGTCACAGTGTACAGTGCACACCAACATCTCTCAGTGTCCCAATGGACCATCAACATCTATGTCTCTATTAAACTGCCAACATCTGTCAGTGTTCCTAGTGGGCTGTCAACATCTGTCAGTGTCCCTATGGGACCGTCAAGATATGTTTTTGTGTTTCTAGAGGCTTGGAAACACCTATCTTTGTGCCTAGTGGATCACCAACATTTGTTACAGTGTCCAAGTGCACTAACAACATCTGAAAGAGTGTCCCAAAAAACTAAAAATTAAAAAATGTACTTATAGCTTGATGTGTCATTATGAATTTCATGTTAAAACGACCATAAGGGTCAAGTGTAAATAAATAAAATAAATTAAATTAAATTGAAATAAAATGGAATAATAAATGAATAAAGAGAATGAATAAGGAGGAAAAAAAGGAAGAAAAACTTACTGTACTAATAACAATATTCTGACAGCATCTAAGTAGCTATAGGTGGCATATATTTATTTTTTTATTACAGGTACTTATATAGCACCATCAATTTACGCAGTGCTTTACATATATATTGTACATTCACATCAGTTCCTAACCCTCAAGGGCGTACAATCTAAAGTCACTAACTCACATTCATACATACACATACTAGGGCCAATTTAGACAGGAAACAATTAACCTACCAGCATGTCTTTGGAGTGTAGGAGGAAACCGGAGTACCCAGAGGAAATCCACGCAGGCACAGGGAGAACATGCAAACTCCAGGCAGGTGGTGCTGTGGTTGGGATATAGGTGTCAAACTGAAATATGTGGTATTTATGTAACAATTTTTTCCCTACAGGTGAAACTAGAAGAACCAACAATCTATATTTTCCCACCAGCATGTGTTATGATAATGACTTTTGAGTGTTGTTTGTATGCTTAAAGACTTCAATCACAAGGATATATATGTTGAATGGAGGAAGACTGGCTCAGCCATAAGAGAAAATCTGTACATAAACACTGAACCCATACTGACTGACAACACCTATATTATGTTCAGCAGAGTCCTTGTTTATAAAAATGATTGGAACAACAAGGTGACACTTACCTGTGCTGGAGGGCTTAGAAATCTTACAAGCATAGACATAAAAGGTGGGCAGTAATAAATGTCCACCTTAGCGTCCATATCTGAAGTTGTTTCATTGGCTTTCTGACTGTGTTACCACTGAAATGTTAGCTACTCAACATCTCATCACTTTAATATATGGTCTGTCTGCCATTCTGTAGTGTTTTAGAGCACAGAATCATGCCAATGTTACGCCAATACAGCTTTTACAATCTGAATGTAACTATATACATCAGTATTGACAATGTGTTTTTTTTTATCTCCAGAAAGAAGCTGCATTGTAATAACATTATCTAGCATGCTCCCATGTTTATGTAATGTGCATTATTAGCTTGCATACACCATTCCCCTTGCTTCATATGTGCGGAACATTGGATTTCACTTTGTGTTTGTCATGGCATGTGCTTATTGCTTAATAAACGTTTGTATAACATTATGTTCCTAAACTCAGTCTGTCTGTCTTTATGTATCTGGGTTCTGATAAGGCATTATCAAAGGTACGCTACACACAGACGCAGAGATTAGAACTATGGCAGTGGTAAAAGCTGTTATCAACATTGGGGTTGATTTACTAAAACTGGAGAGTGCAAAATCTGGTGCAGCTGTGCATGGTAGCCAATCAGCTTCTAACTTCAGCTTGTTTAATTAGGCTTTGACAATAAAACCTGAAAGCTGATTGGTTTCTATGCAGAGCTAGTTTCTATGCGCCAGTGCCTCCCAGCCCTTTAAGAGTTTCAGTAGACGGGAGGTGGCCAGGTTTTAGGGTCATGTGACCGCCGTGATTCGCCATCACGGCGGTCACATGATTGGAAAAGGTCCCAGCTGCAACGGGAGATCGGGACCTTTCCATGAGTCACGGAGATATGTGCTGGGAGTGCGCAGGCAAATATGCGGCCACTCGGCCTCAAGGCCCAGACGCCGAGAGGCCGCACATTTGCGTGCGCTCAGCATCTAGGGGTTAAAGTGTATGTACATCTAAAACATTTTAACTTAAGTTTTGGATACATTGGGAAAGGGTTAGAACCTCTGTAAGGTTTTTCTGCCATCCATGAACAGTTACCATCACTTCCTGTAATGCTAACTTTTGACTGGGCAGGAAGTGAGAATTCCACAACATAGACAATAAAAAGAAGAATTTTTTTTACAATCTGAAAAAGTACCTGCGTCTAAAAATTACTGTGTAGAAAAAAAATATTGTATTTGATGCCATATGGACTATCATGGTACTACCATAGACATTACAACATGTTTAAAGTGTTACTAAACCCACAACAGTAAAATCAGTCTGTATATGCAGAAAAACATGCTTGATATACTCACTGTGGAAGCTAAGGGGTTAATTCTCTGCATTGTGTAAAAAGGATGTCTGATCCTGTCTACTCTGATCCTCCCCTTCTTCCAGTGCCCCCCTCTTATCTGATAAAACATATTGTGTGGAGATACTCTGCACATGCTCAGTTTAGTGTGTATTGCTAGAGAGGGCTTTTTTTTTTCTCATAGGGAGAGTGCATGTGATCAGCACAGGGCCAATTGGCACTATCCAGACAGAGGGCAGGGGTTCTGCATCCTCCTAGAGCAGAATGAAAACTCCTCCTACAAGCTTTAACCAGTGCTCTGCTGGACACTGATAGAAGTCACAAGGCTGCTTTAACTGCTGATGAGAAAAGGTATTTAGCAGTTTATATTTACCAAAATAATTATACTTCCATGCTCTGTGTACTGTAGGAGACCAGATATAGTGAATGCAGGGTCCTGGCTTTAGTAACACTTTATATTTACCATTTGGCAACCATGCTATAGCCGAATGACGGCTACAGCGCGGTTGTCTTGTTCTTGGAGGGCATCATATGAGGCCAATCACAGCGGCCTTTTACCACATGATCAGCTGTGTCCAATGACACAACAGATCACCGAGTAAATACAGTTGCAAGTTATCGGCTGTACTTTCCTCACATTGTCACAAAGAACAACAATTGCCAGAGAACAATTGTCAGAGAACAGATCGGCATTGAATCATCAGGGCACTGATCATCAGTGCCCTGATGATCAGTGCCCAGCAGTGATGCCCACCAGTGCCACCCACCAGTGCCCAGCAGTGCCACACATTGGTGCCCAGCAGTGACACCTATCAGTGCCCAGCAGTGCCACTCACCAGTGCCCAACAATGCCACCCACCAGTGCCCAGTGGTGCCACCCATCAGTGCCCCCCATCAATGCCACCCAGAAGTGTTTGCCCAGCAGTGCCACCCATCAGTGCCTTCCATTAGTGCCCAGCAGTGCCACCAGTCAGTTCCGTCAGTCAGTGCCACCCATCAGTGCTACCCATCAGTGCTGTCTATCAGTGCCCATCAGTGCCACCTATGATTACCCATCATTGCTGCATATCAGTGCAGCTTCATTAATGCAGCATCATCAGTGCCGCCTGTCAGTGCCCATCAGTGTTGCCTACCTGTGCAACCTCATCAGTGCCCATCAGTGCTGCTTATCAGTGCAGCCTCATCAACGCACATCAGTGAAGGAGAAACATTACCTCTTTGCAAAATTGTATAATAGAAACAAAGAAAAACTTTTTTAAATGGTTTACATTTTTTTGTTTATAGTGCAAAAAATAAAACCCCCAGTGGTGATTAAATACCAGCAAAAGAAAGCTCTATTTGTGTGAAAAAATGATAAAAATTTCATATGGCTACAATATTGCATAACCGCACAATTGTCATTCAAAGTGTGACAGCGTTGAAAGCCGAAAATTGGCCTGGGCAGGAAGGGGGTATAAGTGCCCTGTAGGCAAGTAGTTAAACTAAGATTTCTTTAACACATCAATTGAATAAGTAACATCAGACAATACTGTGCAAAGAAAAGGCACTAAAGGCTTTCTCACAACTGGACTGGCGCTGATAGTACCATAGACTAGATCACAGTTTCTCAACATTTTTTCCAGTGGGGGAGCCCTTGAAAAGTATTTTCAGTCACGAGGCACCCCTGTACAAGGCTTTGTTCACGTTACTGTGTGTTGTGGAATGCGATAAATAGCGCCTATTCCTGACACACAGACAAATGCTCTGCTCTTTATTCATTCTAAATGGTACCCCATACATTGGCAAATGTGGGGTGTTTTTTGGTGTGGTGCAATTGAAAAAATGTTCAGGGACGACTTTCAATGTATTTCTGTGGGTAAGGCAGCCCATTGAAATGAATGGGCTGCCCTACACGCAGCCACACAGATATGAAGCAAGGCCTTGTTCACAGATAGGTACTGCATTCTAAGGGAAGGCAGAGAGAACACAAGGCACTCCACTTCCCTTTGTTTTCACTTTGTTCAGTAGTCTCCCAGTGCCATTGTACAGTGTGGCTGGGGATTGGGAACCCAGGCTCAACTGACAGCCTTTCTCTACCAGGACGCCGCGGCACCCTTGAAGACCTCTGGCGGCACCCCGGCTGAGAAAGGCTGGTCTAGATAATACAGTCTAAAACATGTAACCAGTTCTTCTCAGCCTATAGCTGAGCCTACAGAAGCCGATGCAAATGCAGCAGCTGCACAGATACAGACACATGTCAAAATTTGACATGCGTGCGGGAGTGGGTGCACAGATCCGAAAGCACACTGTCTGCACCCTAGTGCCAGCGCCCATCTGAATAAGCACTTAGTGTAAATATGTGTACATTAATAATACCTTGCAATTTTTAAACACTTTAGAAAAAACCTAAAATAAAGAGTTTGGCACATACAATTTCTTTACCAGAAACCTAGAGATTTGTAGAATACACAGCATAGCTGATTTCTTCCTTAGAACATATTTGGAGGAATTCAGAAAGGGTGTCATAGACAATCTTTAGAATTCCATTGGGGCGCGGCACTGAAAGTGTCCATGTTTGCTCCCAATTCATTTACCTGTCTGTGACAGGTACATGGATGTATCCCTGTTTGCACTGAGGAAGGAGTTTCCACATTGCACACTACTCATTCAGTGCTCTCCTAATGCTGCACTCCTTCCTGTTCTTTGTCTAGGCTAACCATGGGTTCATACCTGGGATAGAATTGACAGACATATGCATTAGCTCCTGGGGAACACAAAGCAAAGATAGACCAGTAGCTCCAGCATTGGCAAGGTACTGTAGGGGGCCACAGCCCTCACCTGTCTCACCTGATCTGCTCAGGAGCTTCTGTAGTCCTGTAATTGCCCACAAATAGTGGCAAAAAAAGGAATTTGAACCTGGCAAAATAGAAAAAAACCTACAAATTTCGATATAATATCTGCTTTTCATTGTCAAGTGCACAGCTTCTTCATGTATAATAGTGTTTTGTGTTTGTCTGCTGTTACCTTGCCTCAAATTAGTCATTTACTTTTAGGTAATAAACTGTAACCCATTCCTCGGGCCCTTCTCCTTCTTCCTTAAAGCATTATTAAACCCAAAAGAAAACATTTATTATATTGTAGCTTACCAATTCATAGATGTACAGACTGACTTATTTTTCTCTTTTAGTCTTTCTATCCTTTATTTTCACCTGGTGATCCTGCCAGTAAATCCGTTATTTTTCAACAGAACAAGCTGTTCAGCGGATGTAGTAGTTAGAGGGTTGAGACAAACCATTTACCACTGACAGGGGTGCTTACAATGATCAGCTTTTATTTCTTTATGTAAAACATTTATCCCAAAAAGAAAACAAATTGTTGCTGTAACTGCTTGAAACGTTAGCTGGGGTTTATCTTCAAATGTATCCAATTCTGCTAGTATATTCAATACTCCGCTCCCCCCAGAATGACAATGCTGCTGTCCAAAGATGTCTCAGTTGCTCCTCTATCCAGAGTCTAGGTACCCTGGGACAGAAAGTGTACTGTATTACTGATCAGATCACCAGATGAAAACAGAGGGAAAAAGCCTAAAAAAGAAAATGATTGCAGCAAACACAGCTAATGATTGGTAAGCTGCAATTGGATTTGGGTTTATTACAGCTTTAAGTTAAAAGCCTTTGCAATATTGGCACTAGTCACCCCACTCTAAAGTTTGCACATGTGCACTGCAGTTCTGTGGAAATATTGGTGCCTATACTTACGTATTTGATGCGTTCCATGGCACAGTGAATTTGTACACTACACAGCATATTTTTCACTTGGTGAGAGAAGAAAGGCGGCTGGAGGACACAGCCCGGTGCTCCCGTTGTCTGCCAACACTCCGGAGGGCAGAGAGAGAAGGACAAATAGCAAGCTCCACCACCCGGCTACATACTGATTACTCTTTTACTGGTAAATGCACATTATGATGAAAGCTTACCTGAACACAGTGACATTCATTAGGAAAACTTCAGGAAAACTTAAAAATGATTGTAGTATCGACAGGCGATACAGCCCGTCTGCCCTTTGCTTTTGGCACCTTCCACTTGACCCTTGGTGTTTACTATGAAGGCCTCATGGATGCTACACTCTTCCCCACCTATCTGGTGCACTATGCTGAGCTCTTCATATTTGTCACACTTCATGTTTCACTGTAAGGCAGGAGGATTAGTGATCCTTTGTAATGCTGATGTCACTAAATAGGACATATAGGAGTCTAGTTTGCCTCCTAAGCACTGAAGGTGCCAAAATGTGCTGTGGCTGCCAGCATCAAGCACAGATACTTTGAGAAGAGTTCTTCTATTCTGGAGGAATACCCTGAAAAAATAATACACATTTAGGGCTTGTTCACACTAGGTTTGGTGACCTGCAGCACTGAAAAAACACAGGTCACCACTATTGCTTTCTATGTTCCTCATTCCCACTGCAATACTAGTGAGATGAGTGGTGAAGAGCAGCAAAGATGCAACATATCTGCAATGTAGCACCCTCCTTGTGTTAGGTAAATTTCGTTTTTGGCTCTTCTATCGTCAGAGGAGCAGCGGTTGATTGTTTTTGGCTGTTCTGGATTTCGAAGCTTTGATTGTTCTCCCCTGCCTTCTAGAAACCACTAGAACATTGGAGTGGAGCAAGGAAAATGGCCAGCATTAATATTTATAGTGCAGCAGCCAATCCTTGGGGAGGTGTGCCCAGGGGGTGGCTAAGGAGTGCATAAATAACCTGAGCTTTAGAACAGCAAGATCATGTTGAGGAGATTCCACCTGTTTAGGTGGGATGTGGCTACCCCCTACCCCAAGTTGTTCTACTCATCCAAGATATTGTTCATCGAGGTCCTGGCTGACACAGGGCCTACACCTTGGAGTCAGACAACACTCCAAAGACCTAAATGGTACATCTGCTCCCCTAGCCTCATGAGTACTGGTTTGCTGCAAGATCCTGTTGACTGTATATTATTAGGATTGCTGGGCTAAGTAGTTTTTCTCCTGAGAGGTACATACTGACAACTCCCCATTTTGTACAAAGACTGTACAGAAGGATTGGGCTAAGTACTTTTTCGCCAGTACTTTTAAAGTTGTAGGCCCCATACTCTTAGCCTGCACTCATTTTCATATTATCATGGGTAATCACTTTTGCACCAGGCCTGGGAATGTTAGTCTTAGGGCTGCTTCACACCTGCATTTCTGTGCAATTCCTGTGCGACTCACAATGCAGTACGATTATATTTGCAATACGATTTATCTGAATGGGCTGAAATCGCATTAAATCACACCAAAAATAGTGTATGCACTACTTTTCAAAAACACACTGCACCGGAATGTATAGTACTGCAGTACCATGCAATCTGGTGCAGCAAAAATCCACTGTGTTTGTGAACTGCATTTGGGGTGTCGTTAGGAGTATTTTGACAC